GTTCAGCCTCAGTTTAATTCATTGCCATTTACTGTAATTATTCCAATCTGAATCAATGTGCTTATTCAGTGTAAGGCCTGGCTGTGTGCTGAACTGAGACACGAGCCAGAACCGCACAGTGCCTTTTGAGGAACATACTACAGAAACACTACTGTTTTTTCACTTTCAGGTCATCTGCGGAACATACAGAACAATGTTCACCCCACAAAAGACCAGCCAGTGACTCACTCTGACTCATTACTATGCAAAACACTGTCTCTTCACTAATGTCATCTTTTGTTGTCGCGCTAGTTGTCGGCGTAATTGCCGTTTCCCAATGTGTCATTTCTGTTCGTTCTGTTTCGGCGTTCGTAACGAACATCGTTATCACCAAATCTCCATCTTCCTGTCACACGTTAAGAGGCTTGACATTTTCCCAACTAACCACAGTGAAAAACTCTGTCAAACAGAAAAAAAAAACAGAAAAAAAACAGTCTGGATTTAATCAGTGCAACAGTTTGGCAAAAATCTCAAATTTACCCAATTTAGCCCAAATGTAGTTGATCAGCCAAGACACGAAGTTTGAAGTTCTTTAGTCTCTACTTCTTTAGTTCTAGAGCTGGAACTATGAGACAAGCAATGGAGGTACAGGCACATGTTCTTCAAAACAGTACCCAAAACTAAGGTTCCTTGACTTGTAACAATAGTAGAACCAATAGTACAATAGTAGTAGGTTGTTTTTTAAAACAACCATATTGTCAATGTCACAACAAAACTGTAACTCAGTTTTTGGCACAATTTGTTTGTTTGTTCAGCATCATTTGAAAAGATGCTCTTTACATTGCATGAATACTTTGGTAAGTCTTTCTTTTACAGTCACAAGTTCTAGTTATCAACCAGGTAACTATGAGTTACTCCAAAGTACTAGGTAATTATTTCGGTTAACAAGGTGGTAAGCCCCAAGACAGTTTAACAATTTACAATGATATGTCGAACATGTTCTAGATATTAACAATAAATGTGAAGTACAGAGTAAAATGACAAGCACCAAAATGGTCTAACTAAATTACTCTGAAATGTTGAACAGGTTCTAGATATTTAACTAATAAAGGACAAAGTAAAATATCTTCTAATTATTTGGAATATTAAAGTGGTAAATACAAACATACAATAAATTTCACTAACACGTTTAAGCAGGTAACTAATATGAAGTAAAATGAGGCACAACATTTTTAGTTTTGTGATGTAAAACAGTAAGAACCCAGTAGAACCACAGTAGATAGATAATAAACAGCTACACACCAAGACTCTGTACTTTATTCATTTTACATCTTATTAGAACCAAAATAATTATACAGCACTGTGGAGATTGTACCACACACTTACCTAGTTTAGCCTTAATCAGGTTCTAGATATTAGATAGGCTACTTTGGAACTTACAATGATGTTAGTCAAAATAATTGTCTAGTTCTTTGGAGTTTGTTCCACACATTTACCTGGTTAGCATCTAGAACTGAAGGCACTGTAAAAGCAAGTGTGCCAACATTTCATGATGAATGTTTTTGATCCAACAGTGACAATAAACCATTGTCAATTATATTGAATAACCATTTAAGATGGTTGTCATTTATATCTGGTTCTTTTTATATCAATTGTTTTTTTTTCAAATCACCTATGAAAAATCTTTTTATAAGGTGTAGTTGTGACCAATATGACAATATTTATCAATAAATTCTGATCAATTCTGGGTATATCGTCAGTACTTAAAGAACACTGACCAAGTGCATGTTTTATTACAAAGAAAGAATAATTAGTCCTGTTTAATCAGGGTTCATTCTGTGAAATGCTGAGCAAAAATCACTGTATTAATAGTTTTTGATCATATTTTTTGTCATTGGTGTTAATTTGTCTGATCCAACCTATTAGTGCTCAGAAAAAGTAAATATGACACATATCCTGCATCATGAAAATATCTGTGATATGTTTTAGCCATTTTGTCCAACTCTTCCTATTCCCCACCAAACCATGTGGAGTTGTTAACTCCTCTTAAATAGACTTGCTAATTCCATTTCCGTCTCCATGTTTTGGCTGTTCGACTACATTTGGGCTGAGGGGAGAATTGCACACATTTCATTTTTCCTCGAACAATTCCTCTATAAGCTCCACGCGATGTAAACACATTTAGAATAATTTCCTCCACTCAGAAAGCCATTAGTCTGCTTGTTGTCAGAATCTGTGCCGTTGTATAGATTTATATGACTGACGGATTAACTCCACCACCATTTGTTTCAGTTCCCCACCGCCGCCTCCGAATGTGTCTGGACTTCTGTGTTCGCAAATGTACTTCTGTCAGCAAGAGTTAGGGTGATTGCGAGCTTGAGGGCGACTGCAGGACTTTGGGTGATGAATAGTTAATGGGGCACACATCAGTTAAAAGGCCATAAACGAGACAGAATAAAGGCCTGTTTCGAGCTTAGGGCTGACACGGAACATAATGATGAGGATGATGCAATGTGGAACCAGCCGGTACGAAGCTCGAGAGAAATACTTTGATGACCACAGAAGTCCAGTAGCCCTTTTTTCCCCCTCAAAGACATCTGTTTCTACCACATGTAGAAATATTCACAGGTTTCGAGTTCATGCACGTGGAGAGTAAAACGTACAGTGGCTGTGTTCAAAATAATTAGGGACATGAAGCATTGACAGCTGCAGGGATGTAACCATGAAATATTAATGTTAGTTTATGGTTTAGATGTTAATGTTACAGTTTTACTATGCATTGAATTAGAATTTGGTAGCACGTCCTATAAATCATGTTAATAATGATTTACAAATGCATATGTAAGGCATTATATGGCATTCATAATACCTTATAATGCCTGCCATACGCCTGTATAATTGCTTAAAATTAGTCAGAATTACACATATAACACTTCATAAAACAAGACTGTATAACTTCAGGTTTCGTGTTGCATTATAATATCCATTCATAAGAACATGTTTTATTAATAAAAATAAGTCAATGTGTTTGAGTAGTTTATTTTTAGCTAACTGGTAACTGAACAGATATTATAATGCGTCATATAACCTGAGCTTATGAAGTCATACTCTTTCTTATAAAGTGCTGTGTGTGTAATTATACCTTCTTAAGAGCAATTATACAAGCTTATGCCATATAATGCCATATAATATGCAATATAAAGCCCTGTCAATGTGTTTATAAAGCATTACATATACAGGATTCATCGGAAGTGTTACCTAGAATTTTATTCGGAACGTGCAGATACTGCTGCTCTCACTGGACATTGCTGTTGAAAACTGGAAACCGTTCAAAATGCACTGCTTTACAAATAGAAGAAATCTTTCTTTAGGGTCAAATAGGACAAATAATTAATCAAATAATTGATTCAATATTTTAATCGTTTGACAGCCTCAGTGTAAAGACGTCTAAGTCATCTCTGATATCTTAACTTTTCTGTTTAAAAGCACTTTATTTACAGAAACTCGTCACCAAAATTGTCATTTTAGGTTTGTTGCTTAGTGACCTTGATTTCCTTGGTTATATCCCTACAGCCGTCGATGCCTAATGTCCCCAATCAGAGCCTGTTCTCACAAGTCTTTTAGTTTACAACAAGGTTTAAAGATTTATATCTTTATGATTATCGCACCACCCTGTGAAGGGTTAACACCGTCGATTGGCCTTTTCCCTCTTTTGTCCCCCTCTTTCTGATTCATCCTGCCAGGCGAAAATAACGTCTACATATTTTTCTTCCTTTTTTGGAGCAGGATTATGAGCGAGAGGAAGGCGGAGAGCCGGAGAGGGGCTTCTTTGAACTCAGCCCACAAAATAAAATCTTGTCAAAGCAAATAAAGTCTATGAGTAACAGTGCATAATAAAGACTCCTCCACGGTGAGGCTGCATTCCTAACTAGGCGCTCGGGCTCAGAAAACCGACGCGGCATTAAAAATAGTTTTAATTGCGCTCATGCAGGGTTCTGAAGCACTTTCTGCGGCAGACAGAGCTCTGGCATGTGCCGGTTCTCTGGGCTTGAGAAAACTTCTCTTTTTTTTGTGTAGGGGCCCTCAATTCATCATCGTGTGTGAACTGTTGCCTGATTAAATAGGCTCTTGATCAGGGAAAGAGGGGGGAAAAATAAACAGCAGGCCGAACTGGGTGTGTGAGAGTACCTGTAGAGCATTCCTAATCACAGACACTTGAAAGCAGAGGGAAAGTCAGAGAGACCTACATAAAGCTCTAGCCTAATTTGTAAATCCTCCAAAATAATTAGGGTGGCTAATTAGGGCACACAAAAGAGAGACGCAGGGACCGTGTGTCGCTTTAGATTAAGTGTCTCCTGAATATTTGAACAGATTAAATGTGCACCTGCTGTTCAGAAGGAAAAAAAAATGAAAGGAAGAAAACCGGCAAAACTCAGTACATCTGCATTGTTTGACATCATGTAGACACAATACCAACATTGCAAAAACAACATGAAACAGGAACCGATTCTGTTAGGTAATGGTTGAAAGAATCCATGAAAAGCTGCCCTCTGGAAAGAGAGTTAAAAAAAAGCTGCCCTCTGGTGGCAACAACCAAAAAAAAACCCCACCTGCCCTGGTGAATGCTGGCCTGTAAAGCACTTCTGGCATTCTTGCTAGCTCATTCAGTGCTGTTCGCTTGCTCCTGTCTGAGCATCAGGGTGTTGAAAAGTATAACCTTTTCCCTTCACAATCTGACTTTCACAAAAACTCATTTCCTGAATGGCTACTTACGCTCTCTGCCACGTTAAGAAAGTGCACTTCATTTCAAACAGCTCCTATTTTTTTCACTTACTGCAGGCTAATCAGCGGTGTTTAGTTTTCCTGACCACTGTGTTATCTTAACTACCGTTCTGTGAAGGGGCTGCTGTTTTTCAGAGCAAAGGGCATATTGAGATTCTGTGGTTAGCAAAGTATCCAGGCCTACGTTAACACCCAAGAGGACAAAACCTGGACTGCGCTTATATGCCAGATATCCCACGTGCCATGATTGTACAAATACAACTGCGCCACCCTTGAGCAAGCCCCGCTAATTACAAAACCATTTGTATCATATTTACTAAGAGTGAAATTAAAAAACAGCCACATAATTGTCCACAGTATAAATTACCATGTCGACTCAACCTGGAAATATATATATATATTTATATATACGTATATGCATATAGTACAGTATATGTTGAACTACATTTTTTGTTCTTGAAAACGGCTGTAGCATCACGTGTGGCAAAAGTCCACACTTGGAACATTGCTGCTCTTGCAGTATGCAATGCTATTGTTACTGACATGGCAGTCTCTGTACCCAATGCCTCCATTGGGAGTGTAGATGGGCTGGATTCTGAAATCACCCTTTAAGAGCTGCTCATTGTTCAGTGAAACTATCTGAAAGCTGGTTTCAGTCATTTCCAGGATGGAATTATCCTTTTTGGTGCCGGCCTCACAGTAGTCGTCTTTTCTCCTGCCCCTGTTATATTTCCATTTGGACGAGGATGACCTGCTCTTCTTGTGCATGTGCCAGCAAAATAGACTGAGAAGAGTCACCAAGACCACGAACACTACTCCGCCTATCGCTCCAGCCAACAGAAGCGTGGAAGTGCTGTCTTGCTGGGCAGCTCGCTCAGACTCTGTTACCTTAGTTGAGCCGGGAGCAGACTTGGTCTTGACCTCCGAACAAATTGTATCCTCTCCCGGTCTGTAACTGTTGAGGGTATCCAGAACGTACACACAGACGCGGTAGATGGATCTAGGCTCCAGGTTATACAAGCTAAGCCTCCGTTGGTCCCCTGGGACCGTCCTCTCCTGGCTCATGTCTGTCATGAGATTCTGGCTTCTCTTGACCCAGGTGACTTTGTAAGCTGTGACAGTAAAATAGGACTCCCAGCTCACCTCTATGCTGGTGGAGTTCACTACATACAAGGACATTTTCAAAGGGTCATCATAGGGAGGAAAGGGACCAGGTGGGAAATGGGGTGCAGGTGGTGTGGGACTAGGTGAGGTTGGGTTGGAAGTTGTGAATGAGATTGTGGTGTGGATGTTTCTGGGAGGATTGGTTGTTCTGTGAGGTGTTGATGGAGATGGAGGTACCTGAGTAGTGAACCATGGATGGAGTTCTGTGCCAGCTGGGCACTGGAGGGCATCCAGAGTGAGCTCTCGGATCACCATCCCCCTTACCCTCTCTGGTTTGTGACATGTGAACCCACGGGCATTCAGAGAGGACGGCAGGGACTTGAGCCAGGCAATAACCCACTTGATGGAGCAATCGCAACGCCAGTGGTTGTTCCGGACACTGATATGTGTTAAACTAATCAGGCCATCAAAGACTCCCAGTGGCAAAGCCTGAAGCAAGTTATTTGAGATTTCAAGTCTTTCCAGCTTTCCAAGCCCAGCGAAAGCTGTTACGGGGATGTTGTGCATCTGGTTCTCCTGCAGGTTGAGCTTGATCAGGGATGCCCCAGGAAGCAGCGGTGGTGGAGCTGTCAGAGAGTTGCGGGACAAGGACAATTCCTTCAGGTTCACCAGGTTCTGGAAGGTTCCAGGAGCAATGGCCTCATCTTCCAGAAGGTTGCCGTCCAAAAGGAGCCGCTGCAGGCTGGTTACATTCTGAAATGCCTCTTCGTCTATTTCGGTGATGCGATTCTCATCCAGGCGCAGCTCTTTCAGGTCTGCCGGTAATCCGATGGGGACGCTGCTCAGGTGATTCTTGGTGAGAAAGAGGAGTTTGAGGCTGACCGCTTCCCGAAAAGCCCCTTCCTCTACCCCAACGGTGGAGATGGAGTTGTCATCCAGATGCAGCTCTTCCAGCATGGGTAGCTGGGCCAGGGCTGCCCTGGAAATGGTCTGGATGTTGTTCTCCTGCAGATGGAGCACTCTTACATTCCTCGGCAAGTTGAGGGGGAACTCATCCAACTGGTTCCCATACAAGTAGACAGTCTCCACTGAAGCCACATTGTGCAGCTCCAGCGGAAAGCCAGCGTTGTTGATCTGGTTGTTGTGGAGGAAGAGGGTTTTGTATCCCTCCTGCACTCCCAGAGGCACAGATGTCAGACTCCTCTCATTACAGTAAACAAACGTTTTGTCACAGCGGCACTCTTTGGGACAGGGGGCCACAGGGCCAAACTGCACTTGCAGGCTCAGCAGCACAGTAAACCAAAACCGAAAGCATGATGTCCAATCGCTATTCCACAGCCCCACCTGGAACTCCATTGTGGGACCAAAATAAAGGAAAATATTCAAATAATTATAATAATAAACACAGAATCTGTGGTTTAAAGGAGGAGAACGCAGATGAAATAAATCCAGCAAAGGAAGGATGAAAGTCCTTTTAAAAGATTACGCTAATGCAAAGTTCACAGGAAGTCGAATGGCTAATCCTTCTGTAATTGCTAGTCCTCCACCTCAGTCGTCCAGTGGTCTCATTAGAGGGCACAGGTTCTGTGACTGGCGCCATCCATGCTAAAATATCACAGCATGGCAGGACTCATGGTGCCCAGCGCCCAGCCCATGCCTCCTCCAGCCCGGCCTTTGCACTCCTGGCCGTCACACTCCACTGGGGCTGAACCCAGGAAACCTCCAGGGGATCGGACATCTGGAGCCTGAGACCTACAAAAACAAAACAGGGGAGATAAAGGGGATATTAGTCCTCTAAGGCTGGTGGATCACCATAAAAATTCAGTAGGCCTTTTTTCTTTCTCCCTCAAACGCACACATACATATACTTTTGGGGACTTTCCACTGACAGGACTGTAATTGTGAAGAAATACTGCTATGCCTAAACCTAGCTCTAACTTTAGCAAACACATACACACATATGTCTAAGTATATAACCTTCAACTTTTCAGAAACTCCTATCACTCCTGTGACCAGAACTTTAAATAACCCTTTCAAACCCACAACTTCTGTTTTACTTTTCATGATTATGCAATAGAATAAAATACATTTGTGAATAAATAACCTCAATAAATGCTCCTTTTTGCTACAGTGAGAGATATTAGTCCATGAATGATCTCAATAAATGCTGCTACACACAAAATAGGTGATATTAGTCCATAACAACCTCAATAATGAATATCATACACTAGACTGAGATATTAGTTCATGTATGATTTCAATAAACACTTATGTATCGTCACTGTCCAATGAAAAAACGTATCTCCATTGTGATCTCCAAGTGATTTTCACTTTTCTGCATCATTTGAGCTCAACAGTTCTCCTTTACATTGTGTGAAAATTTCATGATGATTAGACCAATAGAAATGCTCCAAAACTGCTTAGAATAAAACCTCTTTCCATTGACCTAAATTGAAAACAAAGAACGTTTTTGCCCTCTCATGTAAAGTTACTATTTTGGAGATACTTGTTGGACAGCGACGATATGCTAGAATAGGAGATATTAGTCAATAAATGACCTCAATAATCACTCCTATATGCTAGAAGATATTAGTCCATAAATTACCTCAATAGTCATTCCTATACACTAGGAGATTTGTCCACAGATGACCTCAATAAACACTCTTCTATGCTAGAAAATAGATATTAGTCCATAATCAACCTGTGTATCACTGTATATGCTAGAAAAGGAGATATTAGTCCATAAATGTCCTTTTTGCTACAGTAAGAAATATTAGTCCATGAATGATCTTAATAAATGCTGCTATACACAAAATATAAGATATCAGTCCATAAACAACCTCAATATACACTCTTACATACTAGGAGAAAATACTAGATAAACAACCTCAATAAATGCTACTGTACACTAGAAAAAGAGATATTAGTCCATACATAATCTTGAATCCACCACAAAAGCAGTTATGTACAAACACAAGTGGTGTAGTAACGATTTTGTGAAATGTTAAAGAATCTTATGGTGTGGCGTTATGCTATATAAACATATAGACCATGTAAACTGTTATTGAACCGTGTGCCAGTTTCAGATGCTCACTGGTAAACATCCTCTGCTAACAGTAAACCATTTACAGCTTTACGTCCGTATTTCACATGTGCAGTGACTGAGGTACGGCTCTGACAGGAGAAAAAATCAGATGAGATGAGGGAGTGAGGATGGGGGGGGGGTTGAGCTCAGAGTGACGAACGCTGCCTGTCAAATGAAACAGGATTGGAGGATAATTTAGCCCCTCCACTCGCGATGAATGATCGATACAGGCTATTTCTTTCAGCGCGGAGTGTTCCGAGTGTGCTCAAGGCCACGACTCTCGAGTTGACACAAGAGCCGCTATTAAGGTTTAACTGCTTATCCTGTGGCCCGGCCGATTCACGTCTCAGAAATGATCTGCAGACTTACAGATTTACTTTAAGGTCACAACACGCATGCCGCATATTAAAGGCATACTTCACTCAAGACAAAGATTCAAGCCAAAGTTCTATAGCACAGCTGTTCCTGACGTTGTTGTTTTGAACTGACATTCTCCATCACTGCTTTAGTATCAAATTTGCATTTCACCTATTGTCATATTTATTTATTTGGACATTCAAAACTGTTTTGAACATCTATTGCAGACAATATGATAAGTATTGTTTTTTTAAAAAATTGCAACTGATTATTATAATCATAAAATTCACTAAAAGATAATGTGTGCAGTGGTCTTTTGGGGGTACGTGGACTTGAGGCAACATTGTGCAACAATTAGATCTAACTATGCGCCGCTAATATTTGCGTGTATGTTGAACACTAAAGTTAAATTTCTAAAATAAAAACACAAACATTTTTAAGTGTAAAACTAAATGGTAACTGCAGTCTTCTCCCAAATGGCTGCATGAGTGACACTTCACTTATTAGCTATATCATTTCAACTGTGTTGCTTCCAGGCAACTTAGAGACCACATTGCAAATAAGCAGATTTCCTTAATTTAAACCTGAAAATAAATGAAGTTTTAGTGTTTGTAATTTTTTTAATAAATGAAAAAGAGAAGTAAAAATAAGATATATTGAAAATTCTGCACGATTTGCAGATCCACATGCAAATTTAAGCAGATTTGTGACACTGATCATATAAAAAGGCAAATGTGTTCCTTATTTCACTGAAGCTCATGTTCAGATGATTCTGTTAATCATCTTTCAGCCATTGTACATTGTAGCATACCAAATATGAAGAAATTCAAAAATATTTATATACATTATAATATATTAATATTATAATTCATGTAAGTATTAAAACTTTTCACTTGAATTGTCATGCTGATAATGCATTTGTATTAAATTAAAATGTTCATATAAAATTAGAAAATCATGCAAAAGCGAAGTATATATAATAGTGCTCTCAGACCCCACTGTACAAATTTGAACTATTTCTCATACTGTAAAAATCACTTATATGATACTAAATATAAAATTGCATTTCATGGGTAACTTGTCTAGTGCAGAAACATGACCAAGTACAAGCATTGTTTATTATCCACTCAAACTCATTGTAAAGTGAGGAAAATAGGTTTGTTGCCTTGAGGCAACAATGTGCAATAGAGGTTAAATGCATACAGTACTTCTCTCGTTTATTCTAAGCTCTACAGTTCGGCTGTACCTGCAAGTCTGTGGTTGTTTTGAATGCTTCTTTTGCAGAGAAATAAGGTATAATTCTGGGTCTAAACTGGAAATGGAATGTACTTGTTGGTCTGATGTTCTTTTGTACAGCACTAGTGTGTCTTACTGTGTTCATGATTTTTATGTCATTACTGTCGTAACAAAACCTCACATCTCAAGAATGTCCTATCTTTTACTCTTTTCATGTACATTAATGTACAGATCATTTTGGACCATTTTCGTTGGTTTGCAAACTTCCAATCCAAACTTTAGCACCTTCAAGAGGAATCAATGAATCACTATTTAATCTAAATTACCCTTAAAAAAGTTTCGTAGTAAATACATTGGTTCTATATAGAACCATGAACACTCAAAGAACCATTTACATGCTTAAAGGTTCTTTGCTTCAGATTGATTGAGAATGTGTTGTATATGGTTCTATATGGAACCTTTCTTAAAATGGTTCTATATAGCACCAAAAATGGTTATTTTATTGTATACAAGCTTGACATTAGAACAATAGCAATCCGAAGAACAATTTCACCATGCAAAGAGCCATTTAAGCATGCAAGCGTGTCCATTGGTTCTATTTAGAACCACTGTCTTTACTAAAGAACCCTTGAAAAAACATCTTTTAAAGACTGTAAGACACAGCTACAGCAGTAAAGGTGAAACCAGATGCAGCACATTCAATAATGTTAACCTACTAAATGGAGGTCAGTAAAATCGGCCTTGCGTTAAACAACTAATAAATAAATGAAAAAATGAAATGATAAATGAAAAAAAATATGTAATAAATACATTTTTGGTAGAGAAGCATAGAGAAGTAAGGGATTATCAGTGCATTGCAGATGAAGCGTTTGGGTTAAAACAGAATATAGTATTAATTTAAAACATTTTAAATCTGTTTTTAAGCAAATAGAATACAATGAAAAATCCTGACCACTTTATTACACGGACTTTGTAAGCGCTCATTCAAATGTGTCCTCTGTATTAGTCATTATATTCAAAAATAATACTTTATTATTCTGTAAAGTGTCGATATGAGTTAGACAGGTATACCAGAAGGTGTTCTAATGAATAAATTGAACGTAATATACTACAATAATTTATTCAAAGCAATATCTGCCTGAAGATTTGATCACCTTTTAAATGAGCCGCATTCTGGATGTTTTTTATTAGAACTCGTTTGTTTTAGAGTCTCCTACAGCTCTGTTCATCATTCTGGACATGTTTTATTTATAGCTTCCTGATAATTATATGAAACCAAGTTGTAGAATAGTAGCAATAAAATAATATGATTTAAAATGATTAAAACCGTGATTCCAAACTTTTGATCCATTGTGTATATGCTGTATAAATAGTGTAGTATGCTATGATAGTAATATTACATAATTTGAGAGTTTTATTTGGACCTCAATGCATCAATACATTCACTGCAGCATTGTTCTTTTAATATTTTAGTCCTAAACGAGCAGTTCTGGCACAGATGAGACTGTGGAGACTCACAAAGTTTACAGCAAGGCTGATGAGATTCCTGAGCATTTGTATGAAGCTCTAATGGAAATGTAAGATGCAAATATGCCCCCTACTGGCAAGCGAGGAAATGCACTGGAGGTTTACTACCATCAGTGAGGCAGTGAAAGTTTAAACCAGCACGGTTTGATGTGGAAACATTGAGAGTTTCTCATGTGGATGACGCATACAAACACCACTGCACAGAAACCGAGCAGCGCACGTCCAAAATACTGCTTTAACCATAAAAGAGCCAAAAAACAAACCGAAATTCTGAATTAGTTTTATTTCCAGTCCCACAGAGCCCTGGTTCTGCCTGAATTCCCCTGCAAATCTTGCACATTTACCCCTTCCAAAGACTACTTCCCCCCCCAAAACTACCCCCTCCTACCTTTTTACCCCTGTGTATATCCATGCTGCCCTCCTCCTCCTCCTCTTTTGCCTTTTGTTCTTCATGCACTTGTGCACTTATCCATCGCAGCAGAGTTATTCCACTTCAAGTGTGCGCAACTCTTATTCCAGCTCATTTGCCCCAAGCACCATGTTGCCCCCCCCTCCTCCTTTTGCCCCAGGAGCTTCTCTTCCCCCTCTGCCTCTTTGCTTCAGTCTCCTGCCCCCTCCTCAGTGCTGCATTAGGACAGAGGGAGCAGATTTCCTCCTTTTTTCCTTCCCTCACTCCGTTCGGACACTCGTCTCAAAGCCATCGCGCACCACAAGAGCAGAGCAGAAGAACTGAGAGAAAAATCTACTGAGGCTCCGCCCCCTCTCTCTCTACCCTCCCTCTCTCTCTCTCTCTCTTTCTCTCTCTCTCTCTCTCTCCTCCCTCCATTCGTCCCTCCCACTCAGTCCTGAGAGCATTCCCTCATAACACTCATGCACTGCAACTGCAACTGTTCACTGCTCTCCACTTTCAACCTCCATAAAAGCTTTATGCAAACATTTATACTTTATTATACAGTTATAATACTATTATGACAGTAGTTATTACTGTATCCATGTAAAAACACTTTAAGCTGTAAAAAAAGATTGCAAAAAAACAAAATTATCACCAAAAAGTCAAACATCTTGCAAGCTGATTTGAATTAAAGTACACCCTTAGATATAGTTATTTAAGGGTTCTTTAGTAAAGACAGTTGTTCTATATGGAACCATAAACACTTAAAGGACCATTTGCATGCTTAAAGGGTTCTTTGGTTTGGTGAAACAGTTCTTCAGATTGATGAAGAATGTGTTGTATATGGTTCTATATAGAACCTTTGTGTTGATTCTATGTAGCACCAAAAGGGTTCTTCTATTATTACAATTTTGACATCTGAACTATAATAGAAGAACCCTTTTGGTGCTACATAGAACCTTTTCAAAAGTATTCTATATAGAACAACATACAACACATTCTTTTTCAATCTGAAGAACCATTTCACCATGCAAAGAACCCTTTAATCATGCAAATGGTTCTTTGAGTGTTCATGGTTCTATATAGAACTACTGTCTTTACTAAAGAACCCCTGAAGAAGTGTTTTTGGAGCATGTACTTCACTAGATGTTGACACAGTTAAGCAGCAACAAACATTTTGAAATTGTGTAAAAGATAAAAGCAGATACAAAATTTTATTCTAACAAAGACTGTACAGTCATATACGAAAGTTTGTGCACCCTGTTTTGGAGCTGTTGACAGTGGCACTGTTTGGGGGAGATAAAGACCTGGAATAGACTGAAGCTCACAAAGACTGTACTGATTTTTTTTTTGCTTTTGTATCTGACAAAAAGATTCTTAATTGAAAGGCTTCCTTCATTAAGTAATGAAGTGTTAGATAGAGAGCTGGCAGCAATGCTTCTTCTATTCATCTTCTATTCCTCTAATTTATCACCTCTCTAGTGACCAACACCCCCACAACCCCTGTGTAATTGGTCAGCGTTTAGTCCAGTCACCATCTGTAAGAAGAACAAGAGTTTTGTTTTTAATTCTAAGATGATGTCGACAAATCAGGCTTTCAAATGCAGCAGGAAAAATGAAGAGCACCAAAAACAGAGTCGCCCAGAAGATCTTCTGGAGCTCTTAGTAAAGAAACCTTTTTCTATAACTGTAATTGCAGTTGTGAATGGAAGTAATGTGCTTAGTGGTGAAACTAAGTTGGAATTGTGGCTCTGTAACAAAAGAGGGTTATTATGAAAAATTGACAGGTTCTGCTAAGGCAAATGATGTGAGGTAAGGGGGCCCTGAAATTATGTCCCTGTGCCCCGCGATGCTGGTTCTGTATAATAAACAGTCAGAGATAGTGTATTGCCACTATTGTAAGGATTAATGTAAGTTAATGTAACACGATTTTATAAATATGTAAATAAGTAATTCTAGATTTCAGTTGGTCCATTCATCACAAAATATTCACACTGTAAAAAGCAGCTCGCATTTTAAAATGGAAAGTAGAGAAAGTTTTGATATGACAGTGATTATATACACAGTCATAGGCAAGCGTTTTAGTGCCCCTGGTCAAATTTTGTGAAAATAAGTGTGCAGGTCCTTTTTCTGATAATTTTAATATAAAATATAATACTATAACAGAACATTCAAATAAGAAGCCAGTTTCAGCCTCAGAGATCTGATTCTGGATGTTCTTAAGTTTCACTGCAGTTCCTAAAGTTACCCAGCAGTGAAGGAGTTTTTGGACCTCTGACGTTCTTAAAAACAATGAAGCTGAAAGGGCCCTTTGGAGTGATGCCACAAATAAACACATGGTGAGTCCCATTGTTTTGAAGTAAGTGTGTCCCAAAGTCTGAAAATCAGTGTGAAACATTAAGAATTGTCACCTCCGAAACACATATTTAGTGTTTTAATGAAAAATATGATGATTTTATGTGTGTACAGCTGTTCAACGCTGTGTTTGCTGGCTGTGTTTTTGAGCTCAAAAGTAGCTAAAATTGTCACTACCAAAACAGTCACTACTGAAACATTTGCTAAAGTTTGGGTAGAATTAGGATTGTTTCAGTAGAGACAAAATGGATTGCTTAGTCATTTGTTTTGTTAAAATAAACATAATTAACTCAATGCAAAAGGATTTTAGTCTAAAGTCTAAATTAGTTTAAAGTCCCAAATATGTTTTCGACTCTGAAACAGTTCAGAAGAATGATCCGTATTGAGGGTAATTATGTGTCTCCATCTTTGGTGACTATTGCTAACAGATATATTTTAGAAGCTCTCTGATATATTTTAGAAGCTCTCTTAACGTGTTCTCATGTAGGTCATTTATTTTAGGCTTCTTTATTTCATTTATTTCACTGGAGTAATACGACTTCTACTGTAAGTGGTTTTAGTTGCTGTGTGTGTAAATTAAGTGATGTGGACGGTGAAGGAAGCGGTGCACAGCTCTCTCTCCTCCAGCCTGTACTTACAGCCTCCGCAGTATCAGCTTCCCACCAACCAGTTCCGTGACTTTCTCGCCGCCTTTCATGTTTAATTTCGTCTGCCAAATTTCAGAGATTGACTGCCTCGCCCTTCCCCGTCCACAAAATTTAATTCCGACGTAAATCGAGCCGCCATTCTCACCGTGAATTACACACTGAACATGTGGACCTATATTTCATATATTTATTTTATTTAAAGTGCTTCTTTCATTTACATGAGCTATATTAGATGGAAACTTCTCACAGCAGCGGCAAATCCAGACCATTTTATAATAAAGTGTTCAGCCATTTGGTTCTGTTTAACAGCTCCGTTTACTCGGAGAACAGTTAAGTCCGGCTCTTTTTCATCTCTGTCTGGAATTTACGCTGTTAAATACTAAAAGCGAACGCTGCAGCAGTCTGTTCTCTCAGTTACTGTACGTTCATGCTTACAGTGCTGAAGGAATTAGTCCTCCAGAGAAAAATTCAGTTCTAATGTTATAGTGCATTAAACTCACAATGACCGCAGAGCAGTGAGGTCAGGACTCAGACCTGTGCTCCTCTATCCATAACTGTACTGACAACAACATATTCTTATATATATATATATATATATATATATATATATATATATATGTAAACAATGTTAAAATATATGGAATTGTACTATAAGAAGTAGCTGGAATTATAAACAACAGTTAACTATTGTCATACTTTGTTGAATAAAAATAGAAAAAAATCAAATTGAATTTTTGATATGGCAGCTACTTATTTCATTTTTTTTTTTTCAATTTACCTTTCAGATAAAAATTGAATGCACCCAGTTCAATTTACTTTTTCATTTTACCTTCTATTTGAGATTGTTTGATTCATTTTTTGTTTAAATTAGTATTTTTATATTGTTCTCTTCTGCCTTTATTTTACTGTTTCATAATAGAGCTTCTGCAGTTGTACGCAAAAGTTTGGGCACCCCCAGCCAAATGATGTTTTGCCTAATAAATACATAAAACAAATGTGACACATTTTCTTTTTTTCTTTTTTTCGATTATGTTAAATTCAGCAAATAAACAGTAATTGTGTATAAAAATGTATCTCTTCTTTAGAGGATATGTTGGCTAATTTTCATTTAGAAAATTAACAACAACATAAAAGTAATTTGATGGGGGTGTCCATCCAAAGTTTTGCATATATGTATGTATACTGTATATGTTTAAAAAATTCTCAAAAAATTAAAGTGATTGTTGTATATTATTCCTAATTGCTATATTGAATTGTTATATATACACACATTTGTTCTATATAAATAGTGAGTAAACATAGTGTGCTTTTACTATTATTATTATTATTATTATCATTATTATTATTATTATTATTATTTGTATTACATATGCATATACACATACATGTATTTTCATGTTTCTAGTATTTTGTATCTTGTTTGGATTAAATCATCGTACTTTGCGAGCTGAACCCTTAAAGAGAATCTAATGGTGTGGCTTTGGCAGCTGTGAGCCGATGTTGGCCTGTAATTTGCTGTAATTATGATCTTGGCCAGATTACAAAGTGAATCTCATTTGTTTTTTTAGACTACACTGTGAGCAGGTCGCACGGGAAGAAAAAAAAAAACCTTGACCATACACAAACATGTTTGCATGTCCACAAACAAACAGTTCCAGGGAAAGTTTTTCATATTTGTTTTTCCCACAGCCGAGAGGCTGAGCAGCTCAGTTCAGTCTAAATCACTATAATCTGAAGTACAGAAAAGACGACTTTAAGCTTCGTACTCGACTCGCGTTTGCTTTTGGGTTCATGCTCCGTGTTGCTCAACAAGCAGATAAACCTTAACTTTTACTTTCTTTCTGCATTTCTGAAGACACAACAGCAGTTTAGCTGAAGCTATTAAGTGGTTTAATCAGAAACACATGCAGGCGGTCGCTCTGAGAGAGGAGAGCGCTGTACAGAACCTTTATATCTGTAAGAGCGGCGAAGGCCGGGGTGAGCACTGCTGAGCTGCTGGCGCTAGCATGGAGGAGCAAACATCTACACTACCAACAAAAGTTTGGAACCCTGACTTTACATTTTGATCTTAGTGCATAAAAGTTGCTCCTAAAACAAACAGAAAGATTCAGATTAATGTGACACTGTAAGAAATGGTTCATCATTTCAACGGACCAAAATGATGGCATGTGTTAAGAAGGTATTTAACTGCTTTCATTCATCTTAAATACTTTTGCAATGAAACATTGCAAAACTACATTTTTGTTTGGATGAACTATCAGCTCAGACCTCAAACACTTCACATCAACTTCTGCCCTCTTGCTCTTTTTACAGTGTATGCATAAATTAGCTTACAGTGTATGTATGAATGAGTTTACAGTACACATATGAATGTCCAAACCAAGATGTTTTGAAACAGGAGGTGTTGTGATGAGGGAGGGCGGAGTCAAATAGCCC